TTAGCTCCGCGAGGCGCTGACGAGCCGCGCCAGATCCTCGCACACGAGCCTGAAAACTGGAGAGCTGGGCCCGCCCAGCTCGTCGTGTGAGACGCTGTCCAGCTCAGTCGAGGAAAAGCTCCCGGAGGTCTGCGGCGCCCACAAGTCGCGGAAGTCGTCGTACAGCCCATCGACCCTCGGAGGCCAGATCTCGTCGGCGGGCGAGTGGTAGAATTGAATGCGGCCCTGGTAATCGCACGGAAGCTCATTCGCCTCCATGCCGACCTTCGAGTCGGCGACCAGGGCGCGAGACTGCCGCAGCACCTCCTGGCGGCCGTCCTTCAAGGCCTCCCGGATGGGGTCAGAGTAGCTGGCGTCGGAGGATCTCCCCGCATCGCCGATGCATCGGCGACGTCGGCGTGGGGAAAGCCGGGCTCCACATCGAGCCGCACCGCCGATGCCTCGGCGATGCGGCGCAGTCCACCGACCCCGCCCACTCGGACCCCACCTCGGAGGCCCGGAGTCCTCTCTGGACAGGCGGTGCTGCAGGATCCGGGCATAGGACCGCGCCTGCTCGGGCGCCATGAGCACCGGGAGCAGGTCATCCACCAAGACGCGCGCCGCCCCCTCGGCGTCCCCCTGGTCCGACCAGCGCTCCAAGCTTTCGATTTTGGGCGAGAGCGCATCGCGGCTGGGCGCGGGCATGTGCTGGGGTGCGGGCAAGAGCTGTGCTCACATGCGCTACAGCTTGGATTGTCGGGCTCCCTTCCCAGAAGCCCGAAGCGCACTGGTAGAGGCCTCTTAGGCGGGGTCCGGACAGACGGGGTCGGGAAATCGCGCCGCATCGCAATGCACCGACGATGCACCCGCGACGTCGACGATGCATTGGCGCCGTCGGCATAGAGAAAATCGCGCTCCACATCGAGCCGTATCGCCGACGATGCGGTGCGATCCTCCGACCCCATCTGCTCGGACCCCATCTGGGAGGCTTGGATATGGATGTGGACAAGCATCAGGCCCCTAGAGGCTCGATGTTTCTCTACATCCAGTGCGCCTCGGCCTTGTGGCGCCCCTTTCCAAGAAGTCCAAAACGACAGGAGGAGGGAGGAGGAGAAGGAGGAGGAAAAGAAAAAGGAGGAGGAGGAGGAGGAGGGAGGAGGAGGAGGAGGAGGAGGAGGAGGAGGTGGGGGAGGGAGGAGTTGGGGGGAGGAGGAGGAGGGAGGAGGAGGAGGAGGAGGAGGAGGAAGAGGAGGAGGAGCAGGAGGAGGAGGAGGTGGGAGGAGGAGGGAGGAGGAGGAGGAGGAGGAGGGAGGAGGAGGAAGAGGAGGAGGAGGAGGAGGAGGAGGAGGAGGAGGACACTGGATGTGGGCATAAATCTTGCCCGCACGGGGGGCCGCGGCCCGCGAGGTAGAGCCCCGCGCAGCCGCGGAGACGCTGCGCCACGCAGTACGCCACGCTGGCGCCCATCGAGAATCCGAACAGGGCGAAGGGCCGCTCGTCGCCCGATGGCCCGCAGTGGCACCTCACGATCTCCTCAACCAGGAAAACGAACAGTGACATAAACAGAAAAACTCGGAGGTCCGCGCGGATTTCTCGGATCCGCGCTGGACCCCTTTGGCGGCGCCTCTGGCGCCGCCCCTGGCGCGCTCCGCGCGCCAGGGAGGGTGTCCAGCGCCGATCCGAGAAATCCGCGCGGATTGTATATTTACCTATACGACCACCCTGCGGGTGATAAGGAGGTGAGGGGGGAGGGGGAACCAACGTCTCACTCAATCGATCTCGCTATCGATCTCACATTCGGTCTCATTATCGATATCACTATCGATCTCGCTATCGATCTCGCTATCGATCTCACTATCGATCTCACAATCGATCTCACAATTGATCTCACATTCGGTCTCACATTCGGTCTCACTGTCGATCTCACTATCGATCTCACAATCGATCTCACTATCGATCTCACATTCGGTCTCACATTCGGTCTCACTATCGATCTCACAATCGATCTCACAAGCGATCACTCACAATCGATCTCACAGTCGATCTTACAATCGATCTCACAATCGATCTCACATTAGGTCGCACTATCGATCTCACAATCGATCACACTATCGGTCTCACAATCGATGTCATAGTCGATCTCACAATCGATCTCATCATCGATCTCACATTAGGTCTCACATTCGGTCTCACCGTCGATCTCACTATCGATCTCACAATCGATCTCACAGTCGATCTCACATTCGGTGTCACATTCGGTCTCACTATCGATCTCACTATCGATCTCGCTATCGATCTCACTATCGATCTCACAATCGATCTCACAATCGATCTCACAATCGATCTCACATTCGGTCTCACATTCGGTCTCACTGTCGATCTCACTAACGATCTCACAATCGATCTCACAGTCGATCTCACATTCGGTCTCACATTCGGTCTCACTATCGATCTCACTATCGATCTCACAATCGATCTCACTATCGATCTCACAATCGATCTCACATTCGGTCTCACTATCGATATCACAATCGATCTCACAATCGACGTCATCATCATCATCATCATCATCATCAACAACACCAACACCAACATCATCATCATCATCATCATCATCATCATCATCATCATCATCATCATCATCATCATCATCATCATCGCCATCATCAATATCATAATCATCATCATCATCATCATCATCATCATCATCATCAACATCATGATCGGGACACCGACGGGACACCGACGGGACACCGGCGGGACACCGGCGGGACACCGCGCGCCACCGGCCGCCCGGTGGAGAATCATCCGGCCGCGCCTCAGCCACAGAGGACACCACCGGGACACCGGCGGGACACCGCGCGCCACCGGCCGCCCAATGGAGAATCATTCGGTCCGGCCGCGCCTCAGCCACAGGAGACTTTCCTCTCGCCCGCCCACGCAGCTTCGCCTCGCCCGCACGCACGGCACGCACGAACACGAAACCGAAATCGATTTCCCGGTAGGGGGGCTCTCCGTTCCACTTCGATCTCACCCCCTCACCTCCGATGTCATTGCTCGTTTCCCGTTCAACGAAGGACAAAAGCGGCCAACTTCCGACGGTCTGCGCGAGTTTCTCGAAGCTCCAAGAAGCGTCCCAGGACGCTATGGAACGGATGTGCCCTTGTCCCAGCCCCCTCCGAACAGGCCCCGCTCCAGGAAATCTCTGAGGAGAACAGAACTACACAAACACAAGCTGTTGACTGTCCGTGCGAATTTCGTGGACCTGCGTTGGCCCCCCAACACCATGAAGCCGAAATTTAATGTATATGCCGTTGGTTGTTCCTCGATCCTCTGCGAGGGCCTCGGCGAGCGCCTGGACCGAGTCCAACGCGCGGGCGTAGTGCGTGCCGTGTCCGGGGTACTCCACGACGCAGACCTCCACGGAGGGGTAGGCGTCGGCGGTCTGCCTGGAGATCCACGGGGTGTAGGTGGACGCCACGCTCCCGATCCCCAGGGCGCAGAAGAGGCGGACCTTGGCACTCGGGCTGGGCTTGTTCACCCACCACGGCGAGGCCAGCAGGGGCTCAAGCGGAGGCCGTTCCAGGCCAGCATGGCTGCGTCCAGCGTCAGCGTCCGCTCGTGGGCCCTCGGGGCCCACGTCGGCGGCCTTCTTCTTCCTCTTGGGCTTTACGAATCCACCGCTGCCGATGAAAAGCTCTAGTTCTTTCTCGTCCCACTCCGCCGATTCGGGCGGAAATGTCAGCGAGTCGCGCGCTGTGCCGGGATACCTCGCAAGGATACGGTCGATAAGGGGATTGGCCATGGTTGGCACTCCGCACGATCAATCCATTGCCCGAGTCAAGACGACTTGAACCAAAATGGCTACGGAACGTATTTGGGCAATCTTGCGCCTTTTTGGGGGGCCTCCAATTTCTCGTCGCCGCTACTGGACTTTTCTTTCGGAATCACGTCGAGCACTAACTGCCCCCCCCTTCCCTCTCACACACACATACACACACACACCGTGTCCTGAGGCCATGGGGGTCATTCGTTTCCCTCCCAGGTCCCAACCTGAGCTACACTTGCCCCAACGGAGACGCCGATGTCTAGAGGCCCACCTTCTGTCCCAGTCGGGCCAAGCTGCAAACACGGTCCTCCTGTGTACCAGCTGCGGCGCATTCGCCTGCCAGGGTCTCAAAAATTGTCGGCATTTGCGGGCCGAGTCTAAGCCCGTGAAGCGCGTCGGAAACCAACAACCTGATCGACCACGATCGCAAGGGTCTGCGTTCGAACCGTCAGGAACCACGGAACTGGAGGCGGCCTGGGACAAGAAACAGCACACTGCATACACGTATGCTAGCCAGCGGGAAACCCAAACCACGTGTCAGTAGCAACCTGCGTTGTGCAGAATATGTGGTGCAAACTATTCGTTGCAAAATGTGCGGTCGAATTGATGTAAACAAACGAATTGACCCATCCCACGGTCTTGCAAACACCCCACCCCCACACCCACAACTTGGATTGCCAAACCCATGCTGTGGCGATTGCGATGCATGCTCGGCGTTGGCTGGTGCATCTTTGCGGCCGCTCCAACCCAACCGCGCGCGCAGCGGCCAGCTAGTTTGGCGCGACCGACGCGGCCGCGGTGGCGCTGACCGCTGGGCACATCCCAGCCAGCGACATGGCCGGGCGCGGTATCATGGCAACGTCGACAACGGTAGACACGATGATAATAGTAGCGATGCTGGTGACGATGTTGACAACGACGAAGGCGCGTCAAATGCGGGCGCCGATGCTGATCACGCCACGGCCAATCACTGTCCCTGGGTGCGTGGCTGATGTGGAATTCCGCGATGCGGTTTCTGTTTTGTTTTTGTTGTTGTTGTTGCTGCTGCTGCTGCTGCTGTTGTTGTTGCTGCTGTTGTTGTTGTTGTTGTTGTTGTTGTTGTTGTTGTTGTTGTTGTTGTTGTTGTTGTTGTTCTTGTGTGTGCTGTTTATTGTTTGTTGTTTGGTGTTTGTTGTTTGTTGTTTGCTGTTTGTTGTTTGTTGTTTGTTCTGTGTTGTTTGTTGTTTATGGTTTCGTCGTCCCACCCGCGACCCGCCCCGCGACCCGCCCCGCGACCCACCCGCGACCCACCCCGCGACCCACCCGCGACACACCCGCGACCCGCCCCGCGACCCATCCGCGACCCATCCCGCGACCCACCCGCGACCCACCCGCGACCCACCCGCGACCCACCCCGCGACCCGCCCGCGACCCACCCCGAGACCCCCCCGGCGACCCACCCGCGACCCACCGGCGACCCACCCGCGACCCACCCGCGACCCACCCAGCGACCCACCCACGACGCACCGCGACCCACCCGCGACACACAGCGACCCACCCGCGACCCACCCGCGACCCATCCCGAGACCCACCCAAAATGTTCGGCGCCTGCGGCGGGTTTCCTTGGCATTCGTGCCAGGTGGAGAACCTGCGATCCACCCGCGACCCAAAGCGCGTTCAGTGTACCCATCAAGATTGTCAGCGCCTGCGGCGGGCTGTTTTTGAATTCGTTCCAGATGGACGTGGAGAGCCCGCGGCCCACCCGCGACCCAAACTACGCTCACTGAACAAGCCAGAACTTCGGCACCTGCGGCGGGTTTCTTTTGCATTCGTTCCAGGTGGCGAACCTGTGACCCAAACCGCGTTCTGCGTACAATCAAAATGTTCGGCGCCTGCGGCGGGTTGTTTTTGAATTCTTTCCAGGTGGAAGTGGAGAGCCTGCGACCCACCCGTGGCCCAAACTACGTTCATTGAACGTTCAGTGAACGAGCCAAACAACATTCACTGAACGGCGCGACGCCCGCGTCGCCCGCGACCGCACCCCCACTCTTATCCGCAATTCGCGGGGTGCTATGTGAAATTTTCCATGTATATATATATATATATATACACATATATAGGTGTGTGTATACACATACGTACGTACGTACGTACGTACATACACACATACATAGGTGTATATATATGTATATATATATACATGCATACATGTATACACATATGTGTACATATGTATGCATGTATGTATGTATGTGTATATATATATATATATGGATACTCGATTTTGACATCCTTACGAAATCATTACGCAATCCTTTTGGTGTGTTGGCATGCGCGCGCGACGACGAGCGCGAGCGCATTACGTCCCTATGTTTGTGCAAAGGGTTTTTGAGAGCTGCTGGTTCTTGATAAACGGGTGCGCGCGCATAATACTTGTTGCAGAACATGGCGGGGGGGGCGATACCAGTTGGGCTGGGATGGTGTGAACTCATATTTCGGATGGGCGATGAGGCAGAATCCTACGTAAATTGCATATCCAAAGAAAAAAGGGAAGCGATAATCCCAGGAAGGGAGGGGGGAAGGTATGTATGTTCATATGTATATACACATATATAAGACTGCAGTGGCGCTTCGCGCCATGAACCTTGGTCCTTGAAGTTTGGTATGCAGGCGGAATGGCAAGAAGGTCAAACCAACAATTTAGCGATAACTTTTGTGTGCCTTTTCCGGCATCGCCGCTATAATGATGTTATTCGTTACCCTTCCTCCATGCTTATTGTTCCTTATTTTCGCCAAACACTGCGCATTCTCCCCATCCTCCTCAGCTTTTTTTTGCGGAGGCTCCTCCTTGGAGAGCCTCTAGGAGGCTCACAAAAGTTGTTTCGGGTTTTCCTAAGGCCTTCTGGAGGCCTCCTGGGCGCATTCTGGGGGCCTCCCGGGGCTTCCTCGGGCCACCCTGCCTCCAACCGCCGTCTCCCTGAACGACCGGATCACGATTGGAATTCTTCGGAGGGTGTCTTTGGGCCATCTTGGGCCGCCATGGGGCTCTCTGAGGGCCATCTTGGACCCGTGTTGTGCCGTGTTGGGGCTCTCTTGGGCTGCCTGGAAGCCCTTTCGGATGGTTGTGGGGCGATTTGGGAGCCTCCCAGGCGGCTTCGGACGCCCAGAAGACCGCCGCTTTGGAGCGTCGGGAAGCCGAAAAGGGGAGAACCCCAAAATTCACCAAAACGCATACAAAATCAATGATGTTTGCCTCAGGGGGCCTTCTTGGGAGTGCTCTTGGAGGCCTCTTTGGGGCCGTCCTGGAGGCCTCTTGGGCCATCTTGAGGTCACGTCGGTCACTCTTGGAGCGCTCTTGTGCTGTCTTGGGGGTCTCTGGGACGTCTCCGATGACCCCCTGATCGCCCTAAGTGTGCTGGGAAGGCTTGGCAAAACGACTTGCGAGGACCGGTGGCCGCTTCGAGGCCCGTCCGGAGGGCCACAAAGCCCCAGGTCCAGGGAGTCCGGTTGTGGGGGGGGGGGGGTGATGGGGTGGGGGGGGGGGATGGGTTTCCCCCCGCCCGGGCTTATACAAATATAGGACGAGGAAGATAAATATATGTACATATATGTATATATACACATATATTCATATATATATATATATGTATATATACACATATATATATAGAAAAAACAATCTATACCGAACTTGAACTTTTCAACACCACAGCTCGTGCAAGTATCCCACCCACCCACCCGCAACTTGATTTGAAAAACCCATGATGCAGCGATTGCGGCGGCTGCTCGGCGCAAACTGGCACGTCGCCGGGCGCAAAGCGGCCAGCTAGTCTGACGCGACCGATGCGGCCGCGGTGGCGCTGATCGTTGCGGAATTCCCAGCACGTTTCGCAGGCCGCGTTGGCGCGCTGGCGCTTCCGAGCGAACGGTATCATGACGACGTCGGCAACGGCACACACGATGATGATAGTAGCGGTGCAGGCGACGATGCTGACAATGACGGCGGCAAAGCTAATGACGGCGCTGATGTTGATCACGACAATGAGGATGATGGTGTCCTCGCGTCGGTGATAAAAGGTTGCGATAAGGACTTCGGCATGCGCGCGCGGCCGACGCTAGCGAGTGGCCCGCATGGTATAATTTGACAATGATCGTGCCCCCTCCCCCCCCCCGAAAACACGCGCGCAAGGGCGCTCGACTGATTTCGACATGCGCGCGCGAGAGAACCATTTCGTCGCGTCCGACGAGCATGTTGCTAAAACGATGGTTACCTGAAAATTCGCAACGGCGCGGGCGCAGGCTCTTTTGACAAACCTTGTCGCAATAAACCATTCTGCGTTTTAAATGTTCCGGGACTCTCGATGCTGACACCCTTCGGCGCTGCAAGATGTTGACGGGTTCCGGCATGCATGCGTGACGACACGCGCAAGTTGTCTCACTGTCCGACAATACGCGCGCATGGGAGTTCGAATGATTCCAGCATGCGCGCGCGGGGGACGCGTGTGGTAGCAATCGATGATGACGCGTTGGACAAAAAGCAGAAAGGTGCAGGGGCGCCCGGGCAAGTTATCTTGACAAACCCTGTTGCGAACCCGTTGTTCAATACCTTCGCCACTGACGAGTGGACACCATCATCGTCACTGGCGTGATCAGCATCGGCACCGTCATTGGCCTTGCCGTCGTCATCTTCATCATCGTCACCAACATCGCTACACTCATCATCGTACTCGAAACATGCTACCGCGCTGGCTCGAATCACCGACTCGCACTGAATCACCAGCGCGGCAGCGCGGGGACCGAGACGCGCTGGGAAATCTACAACGGTCAACGCCACAGCGACCGCGTCGGTAGCACCAGACTGGTTGGCCGATTTGCGCGCGAGCCTGCGCGCGCTAGCGCGCCCGCAGCGATGCGCCAGCCAGCGCCACACAGGCAACCGCAACCTCCTGGGCAAACCCTTTGATCATGGCGACGCATTGTAGCTTTTTCAGAGGTTC